ATTCTCATCATGTTACACAGATTACATAGATGGGACTATATTTATTCCCATTCCCAGCATTTTAATTTGATGTGACAGATTGGACTGTATTCATTAATAGTCTCATCATTTTACGTAGATTTCACAAATTGGACTGTATTTCCCATTCCCATAATTTTTAACATAATTATAATAATTATTTCGAAAAGAGTTTTAAATAGTTTGGCTCTTAAGAACAACTTTGAGCTGTAAGATAGGCCTGATAATTTTGAAAATTAGTCTTCCATGTGTTCTTCTAAAAACAGGTAATCAGTCCCTTTAAGGATGTAATTTGCATAATGTAAAGCATATAAATCTTCGTCCTTTCTTTATGATCATTGATGTCCATTAATATGAATGAATAAATGTGTAAAATAACATGAAAATTAGGGATTATATAAACCAGGTGTTTTTCATCTTGGGAAATTCTTAAACATTGCTTTGCCTTCAAATTAGTTACTTCAAAAAACAGTGTGTTTTTAAGGCCAGTTAGCTAGGGGCTTCGGAGAGTACAAAATATCACACTGGGGGCCAGGGGGAAAAGGGGAAGGGGGTGAAAATTGAAATTATATTGATGTTTTTTGTTCAATTTACCCCAATTTACCAATAACATAGTATTCTTTACCATTCCATTACCATTCACCCAAACGATGTTGTATGTACGTATACATTTACATAAAGATATACATCGTGTTCGATTGCATATCTCTGCATTATATAACAAATATAAAATAACAAAATAATTTTTTATTTGATAAATTTCCAACCGGTGCAGAATAAAAATTAATCCGCAAAAACTTGCATGATTTTGCAACAAGAACTTTGCAAATTAATTCGCAAATTAAAACAATTAGCTGATTTAAATCCTCTGTTAAATATTAATCTAATGAAATTCAAAAATGCATTAAAATGGTTTATGATACAATTCAAAAATCCAATTCTTCAAATAAATTCTTTATACAATATTAATAAAATATCATTTTGCAATTTTGCAACATCTTATTGCATTGTTATTATTTCCAGAATATGTTGCAAATTTAACTTGAAATATTTGTGGAATTTTATCAGCGCTATAAAGGGAAAATTTTATCATAGAGGAAAGTTTTTTCTGTCTTTTATTCCAATTTTTTGAGCTAACGCTGATTTAAAATTTCACGGAAAAAGTCTAATAGGTTCAGCTTATCAACTTTAATAGCAGCAAATAAAGGGATTTGCTCTTATCATTAACAAGCATTGTAAAATAATTAGAAACTGGAGTTTATAATAGTGTCAATAACTCGTAAATTGTACTTCCACAATCAAATATCAAAACAGAAAACTTTTATTTTCCTTGTTTAAACTAAATGATGAATTACTGAACTATAAACCTATGAAAACAATTTTAATAATGTATATTTCGTTTATAAAAGATATAAAAGGTATAATAATAAACTGCTTTGCTCTAGTTCCAGTTCTACAGCAGTGCACGGGGTCGTTAACCCCGGAAATTGCATATTACCATTTAACTAGAAGAAGACGTCATCAAAACTTATAGATTTTTTTTTGCAATAAGGGGACAGAATCTTTAATTTTTATAAGTTTTTAATGTTTAGCTTTTTTCAAAAGAAAAAAAACTATCGAAAACGCTGATTAAATTAGTATTTTTGAGCATTCTTGGTTAAAAAACAAGTTTTGAATGTTTTTACTTAATCGAAATGGCAAGCCAAAGGATTTTTTAAAAGTGTGTAACTTTTTTGGAAACAGTGTTTATACTATATACAATGCTCTCAGGACGCTTTGCGCTTTTTTCTTTGAAAAAATTTAGCTGTCATTTTTTTGTAATTTTGTAAACCGTAAAATGCATAATTATCTGTTTGAATTGATGCATTTTAAAAAATTAAAAAATGTTGAAATTTTTTTCGGGCAAAATTTGAATGGACCGTTCATGAACCTTTACTGGGTTCAACCTTTTGGACGTTTAATATATTTAATACAGTGGGCTGTAACCACGAATTCACCGCAAACTGAAGAAAATTGCACGTTATACTGAAATATGATATGTTTTCAATCATAACTCCATTTATTTAAGAGCTATTGAAAAGATCAGACATATTTAGATTTCTAATATATGTAACCGAATAAATCAGAACTAGAGGAGCAACAAGGTCACAAACTCGTGCCAGTAATATCAATTGATTTGACCTTCTCCTCCTGGTTAGTTTACAGTGATGTGGCCGAGCGATGCAGTCACATATAACAGAGGTGTGAAAGGTGGGAGGGAGAGAGGGATGGGGGGGGGGTTAAGAAATTACTCTAATTCGGGTAGAGCTGCCAAATCTATTATTCTTTATCCCTCTCCAATAAATGAAGTAAACAAACAAAGTTTCTTACACAAACAATCAGAAACTGTTTAACAAACTTTTTTGCCATTTTTTAGAAAATCTATTCATCTCCAATTTTGTTTTGAATTTGTTAGATATTTTACCTCCATCTGACAATTGTAAGTTATGTTTTTTTGTTTGATTTTGTTTTAATTCTTTCTTTCAAAACTAAAGATGGCGTCTTTTTTTTGAACGAACAATTAAATTTAAAATGATAAACTATGGAGTCCTTTAGAAAACTCAACGAACGATTGACAAACGAATTACATCGTTAAGAACGAACAATTTAAATTTGTTAACGATCGTCCGCCTTTTATTGATTGGTCAGAACGCTAACGAACGATTTATTTAAACGAACTTCTGATAACGACCGTTTTTTCTAAAAAAAAGATTTTTTAATTATCTTTTTAAACTATCGTTGTAAGACCAATTTTTTTTCGATCGAACTTTTGAAAAAGCGATCGTTTTATTACTGAACAAACGATTTTAGTGGCAAACAAATTCACTGAACGAACGATATAAATGAACGATCGTACAGTTAGAAAACGAAATAAATTAGATGGAAAACAAACGATAATTTTGAAACCGAAAGAATACTGAACGAACTGAAGGATCGAAAAAATGAACGAAATGAATCGTTAACGAACTAAGAACGAGCTTAATTCTTTTAAAATCTTTTAATCTTTTAATATGAGCCATACTTTTTGCATTTTTAATTTTGTTGGACCACAAGTACAAAGCATTCTAGCTTGAGATCCTCATCGTAAACCATAGTAAAAGTTGTTCTTAAAATCCCCCTCATGGACCATAGTGAAGTTCGTTCTAAATTCGGCCCTCAAGGACCACTGTGCACTGCATACCTAATGTCCTCCTTTATGGATCACTGTGCAGTGCAATCTTAATATCTCCGACAAGGACCAGTTTGCATTATAAACTTAGTATTCCCCCTCTTAAGAATCACTGTGCACTGCATCCCTTGATACAAGACGGTTCAGTCTCAAGCTTGCACCCATAAAACAATTAAAACATAACATTCATTGTTGCACAGATATAATTCAATTCTGTTAATTTATAAATCTTTGCTGATATTTGCAAACCTAAAATCATTTTAATATTCAACAAGGTCAATTAAAATGAAGTTTTAGTCCTTTTTCGTAACTGAAAAATTTAAAATTTGGCAAAAAATGTGGTTTCGGAAATTGATTTTTTTAAATTTGAATTCAATTACTCTTTTCCTAAAAATGTTGTAAACCCCTGCATTTTTTATATATCTGCAAATTTCACAGTAATAACAGTAAATATATATTATACACTATCAACTGCAAGAAAAAGGAAATATTTTACGGTCTAAAAACTTTAAAGAAAAATCAACATTAAGAAAAAGCAATGCTAAAAATACCTTCAAAAATATAATCTGGCTTTTTTTTCTGAAAAATGTATCAAAGAATTAAAATGAATTTTGTTCCCAATCCTTTAAATATTCTCCTTCTGTTCCTGATGTTCCCTGGAAAACAACTTGTTATTATAAACGCAGTCAAATAACAAGAAAAAGATAACTTAGGGAAAACACGAAAAGAATGAAATTGTTTAAAGGGATTGTGAGTGCAGTTTCAAGTAAGTGACTCTCCTTGCAAGGATGGCATGCAGTGGCAAATTAACTATGGTAACCTTAATTTATCAATAATGTAGAATATATTGTCATTTTTCTAGGGTTAAAAGTGTTAAAATCTAATAATTTCTAAATATTTTTCCGCAGTAGAAATGCGCAAATCACTTTTGTAGAGAGACCATAGTTGTAAATTAATCAGTTTTCTAAATTATAAATATTTGTTTTCTAATTCAGATCAGATCAGACAAAGCTTCTAAGGTTACCGTTGTGATTTGGGCATTGCCATCTTTGTATGAAGAGTAATTTTAAATTACGCTTATGCAGTCCCTTTAAATATACATTTAGGAAAATTAACGAGAATTTAAGCTGCCATTTTATTTAATTAAAATATTTTTTTATAACTCTTTAATTAAAAGGTGTCCCCCAAAAACAATTGTATTTTTTGTCCCACGTTCCACCAATTGTTATACTTTGTACATTTTCACAATTTAGAAATAAGTTTTATCCTCCTTTCAGCCCCCCCCCCTTGACATTATATTAGAATCTGGAGAGAATAGAGATAAAAATAAGGTCTCAAACCTTTTCTTAAACGATGTTGTATGTACGTATACATTTACATAAAGATATACATCGTGTTCGATTGCATATCTCTGCATTATATAACAAATATAAAATAACAAAAATTTCCCCAACTGAAATTTGGCAGCCCAAACCTTTTCTCACTAGTTCTCTGCATCTGTCTGATCTTATCCTTCCTTCATCGCGTGGTTCTTTTGGACCCAGTCCCTTCTTTTTAAAGACAGCAGCATCCCGTGATTATATCATTTTAGGGTTATTTTAATTTAAGATAGATAGATATAGTCACGGGTCGCTGCTCTTTTTTAGGAGAGGAGAAGGGCTCAACGCCATTTTTTGATGAAAATATGTTCTTCCGTCTTTCAGAATCACTTAACATTTAAATATTTAATTTTAAAATTTTACATATTCTATTAATAATTGATACATAATTGATATAATAATATTGGTGTATAGATAGATCTAAATTAAGTTTTTTTAAATCATTTAAATGATTTCAAATTTTCTATATCACAGATAAGTTTGGGGGAATTTACATTAAAGGGGTTTAAAAATGGCATTAAAGCAAAACAATCTCATTTTGAGTATTTTACAGAATTATTGTTTAAGTTTTTCTGTGTAAATAAGTAGGAATTTGATGCAAAATGCTTACGAACAGGCAGTAAATGTTTACATAGCTTACACTTATAGGTTTGTAAGTATTTAAGACGAATATTGATTCAATTTCTAGACTAGGGTTTGTAAATAGGGTAATGCAGGGGGTTGACGTGAACTCAGTTTTTGAGTTTTTATTTTAGAATTCTCCGATCTTGCAAACCGTTTAAAGATATCTGTATGGATCCGTAGGTTGACTATATGTCGGAGACTCTCCTCTTTAAATCTCCGACCCGGAGAGTTCTCAAACCGGTTTTTAACCTCGCTATTTTCTAACCTCGGTTTGACCTCGTTGTTGTTTGAATCTCCTCGACAGGGTTTCCGTTGGGGAGATTCCTTCCAGGGTTTCCGAGGCGGAGAATTCATCGCCTCCGGGGAAACATCTTTGGTTTGTAAACCTTTTGTCGAAGGGTTGGTTGAGTCCGGGTATCTGGTTTTAGAGCTCCACCATGACCCAGATCTAGTTTCCGTCCCTGCAGGGTTAAAATTACTCCGGGTAGGACTTCCATCAGGTTTACTTTGTTTAAACAAGCTGTGTGTGTAGGTACGGCTGGGTTTAGGAGGAGGAGGAGAAATACTTTTATAACACTGGGATAGCAGGGACATTCGTCCTTCACTCTCCTGTCTCCGATACGGAGAAGGGACAGAGGTGAAACTCAGAACTGATCCAGACTTAACCCTGGAGCAGGTTAGCTCCGGTTCAGAAGAGATCTCGTTCAAATCGGTTTCAAGAATCAAACTTTTGGTCATTCTTTCATTAGCGGAGCTTCGTTTCTTCTCTCTTAATGTTACTTTTCTTACTTCGGGCATTTGAACTTCGCGGACATTTGTCAAGGTTCTGGGTTTATCCTCCAGGTTAAACTCTTTCCCTGGCTCCTGGAGGACCTGGAGCACAGGTTTTGTCTCCAGGTGTGTCGAATATCTAAACGGATTCTCACTCTGTATCGGAGGAGACCCGGAGCTATCACTTCGAACCCTTTTCCGTCCTCCTCCGCAGGACAGAGACCTCACTCTCCGCCCGTCCATGAGGCTGTGAATGGCTCCTCTCCGACGATCGGAGGAGTTACTCCGGGCAAGTTTAGACCCTAGAGATGAAAGATCTCCGGATAGATTCCTCCGACCCTCTAGCTCAATGTCGGAGGATGAGGGTGAGTGTGAGAGAGAGGAGATACCGGAGTCAGATCCATTGAACCTGTGATAGAATTGAGACAGGTAGGTCAGGATAGAAAACCTATAAAATGAAAGATAGAATTTTTCGGTTTGATAACAATTACTTTATAGTTTTAAACTCTTCATGGTTAGAGCTGCAAAAAGGTGAAATACAATCAAGCGCCAAGGTGGTGCGACATTTAAAATTCGACCCAGCCTTGAAAATTGCTGCAACTTTTTATGGTAGTTTAATGTGAATTATTTACCTGTCTGGTATATGCATATCCACCAGATCTTCTATATCTAGTAAAGCTGGAACTCCTAATTCATCCTCTGCAAGCCGAAACGCCAGACCACAGTTTCTGAAAATAAGGCATATCAAATTTTTATCTTTTTTGCTGAAAAATATATTCTTGTTTGAAATCAGACAGTAATCCATTTCCAACTTCTAAGAATCTCAATCCAATGACAGTTTTCAGATAAAAGTCCAATTTTAAACATTTATTGAAAAAAAACATTCAACATATAAAAATGTCAAAAAATGATTTCTATAGAAACTAAAGATGGAGTAAAAGATAAAAAGTGTTGTGTTCTGAACCTAAACTTTAACAATTCTATTTTATTGCTCCAGCTCCAGACAGAAAAGATTATTCTCAAGGTTGCCTCGTGCCGCCAGCTTCAAGGGATTATAGTTAACAAAATGTCGTCTTTTGTCACTCAACGAAATTCGCGCATTTGTAGAAATCAAAATTATGAGATAACAATTGTTTCGATCGCGAATTATGCTGTTAGGCCAAAGATGACATTTAACTAATGCAGAACAAAATTTCTGACTTTACTATGGAGTAGGGATCCAGTATATAGCAGGGATTATTTATACCTTGTTATAGAATGGGATTCTTTTATTTTATTCTAATTCGGAAAATGGAGTTTTTTATCTTATATCGTACATAGCCTACAATTTTGCTCAAGAAATCACAAAAGAACATTTGAAGGAAAATGAACAATGAACCTGAGGGTCACTTAAAAACAGTCTCCTAAAAAATATTATTTTTTGTTTTCTTCATCTTTACCTTTCAAAACTAGATCTAAATAAAAATAAAGAAAATTTTTCTCTCTACTCTATAATATCCATTAATTTTCAATTCAATCATCTAAATTTAAAATAATTTTTTTTCCGTTCTTTTTGAATTAGTAAATATTTTGAAGAATAAAAATTAAAATTCTGCTTTAATCCTCTTCCGTTTTCAGACCATCCTTTAATCCTAATTAAGATGTAAATCGATCACTACTTGACCTATTTAACTTTTTACTTTACTTTCTCATGAAATCATATCAATATTCACTCACACGAATCATTTTATTCTTTGCAACAGAACACATTACAAGGAAAATTATTGATATGGAATAATCAAGCATGAAAGCTCGATCTTTTGTTCGGTTTTGTTCACAAATCTCTGAACAAGGGCGTACACAGGGTTTATTCTATTTTGTGGGACAACATATAGGTGAATAGCTGAAATTCTAGAAAATCACAACCTTTTTTCAACATTCTTTTGTTTTGAAAATGGAAAATTACATTCTTAACATAAGGAAAGGGGGGGGCTACCCCACTTGCCCATCCCATACAAATTCCCTTGTTTTACGTTTCTTGGTTTGTATGGTCTGTTTTATTATACCTTCTGTATTCCCTCGGATTGAGAGTATCTAGATCTATAAGATCTGGTCTGTATCTATGAATAAGAGCACAAAACGCCAACCCGTCCTTCCACGAAGTTGTCATATTGGTGATTTCAACTCCAGAACCATCAAGAGCTCTTCGCACCCACTCCTCCAGCGCTGCAACACCTGTCAGCGACATTTTCACTCGCTGGTCGAACTTAGACTGAAATTTAGCACGCTCCGGCCATCTAATTATAGACCTGTGTCGGGCCGGTACAAGTAGAATTTGAGGATTTTCTCCGTTTAATATTCTCCGATCAAAAAGTTCGAAATTTTACCACTTTCAGTTCTGCACCATTTTTTTAAAACGATTTTTGAGGTAATTTTTTTCAACTTTCCAACACATGAGTTCAGATTTTGAATATTGATTTTTTAATTTGTGAATTTTCCAATTTTTATTCAGGTTTAACCAGATTCATATAATTCCTGATTTCTTTCAACATATCTTTTACATTTTTATATTTCTCCATTTATAATTTTATAATTTATAATAGGGTAAGTAATTCAAAGAAAATGGTCCTCAATATTATCCTATGCATTTTAAAGCGAAAGTGCCCGGTGGTGTTGACCATGGTATTTAAAAAATCGACAAAAAAGTACCTCCTGTGCCGAAAAAGATAATCTTATGCCCATTTGACAGCCCAAATTTTTATTTTGAATAATCTTTTTTGTTTCTTTATTTTCTTGTGATTCTTAAGAAACATTTTTTTATATTTTTTTTATCGATTTTGATGGTTATTATATCTTTAGAACTGACGAGGGTCAGCCCAGACCGAAATATATTTTTGATAAATGTGGAACTAACATCTACTTTTTTACTCTGCAGAGGTTTGGTCCATCACATTCACGGAATTTTAAAAAAGATAATCTTAGGTACATGCCTTCTATTATCAATGGTACCCAGAGGAGGGCAATAACGCAACATTTTTCTAATCTTCTCTGTGAGTATTACAGTTTGGCCGGATATGTGTATTCACGGTAAACTAGAGGTCCTGGCCGGATATGTGTATTCACGGTGAACTAGAGGTCCTGGCTGGATATGTGTATTCACGGTGAACTAGAGGTCCTGGCCGGATATGTGTATTCACGGTGAACTAGAGGTCCTGGTTAAAAGTCCCGTGATTCTTAAAAAAAAACCATTTCCACAATTTAAATGCATATTTTTCGTATTTCTTATCTTATACTGTTTTTTTGGGCTATTCATTTAAAACGCATAATACCCTATTTTTGTTAGATTTTGAATGAGAAATCAAAATATGAAATCAGTTCGATATTGATATTCGTTGTATAACCCTCAGAGCCTTAAACTTAAGACAGGATATCTTTATGAAAACAAGATTTAAAACCCGGGTTTCACGAATGGGATTAGACAGTTTTGTGAATATCAATATTTTTGTAATGAAATATCATTTTTTTCAGTTTGTTTATATTCTCCATTTTTTACGAATCTCTAAATCAAAATCTACACAAATGTTAAGACGCTAAAAAAGGAAACTCGGGAGTTTCGTTCAACGATACTTTTTTTAATTTCGGGCTCTTCAAGGTGTTGTTTGTTAAATTATAAGACTTAGTTTACAAAATAACTAAAAAGGAATTTAATCTTTTTACATAAAGACCTAGTATTATGTCGTAAACGTTTTACCCTTTTGTAAGAAGCTTAAATTTCAAAATATTTCTATTTCCTTCAAATAGTTGAGTCTGCATTTGGGGATATTATACAGTAATTAAATCATTGTGAAGAATATAATTTTAGAAAAAAAATACATTAGTAAGATATAATTTTAATTATAATGTATTCAAATCTCTTAATTATATTCGACATTGCATATATTTAAAAATATTAGTGTCGCAGAGAAATGAACGATGCTCTGGAAACCGACCTAAAGCCACATTAGAGGCTCAGTATTTAAATTTACAATTTTTCAATCTATTCACCTATGAAATATAAATTTACAAAATGGTTGTAAATTTACAAATGACAAAGGAACATTAAACACATATACACAGGTCTCGTGCCTGGTATCTAAAGCCATCAGAACAAATTATTAGATTTAATGAAAAAAATTGAGTATATAAATGCCTAACATAAGTTTCAACTTAACTTGTAGGTCAGTTTACACTTAGGTCTGTTTTCTTTAGTTCGGGAAATTAACTTTTGTCAATGATTTTCAAACATTACAGAAGAATTTAAAATAAATTGAATAATTTCTTCGAAAATCTGTGATATTTTAACAAGCAGCGCACACAAACGATCAATCGATTGGAGATTTACATGATGATTATTTTGATTTCGTAGACCGTACGTAGTAGATATTTTAAACTATAAATTCTGTTATCAAAGGTTAACATTAGGGTGCAAAGATAAAGGAATTAAAAAATTTAGTTTGTAGCAAAAATGGGGGGAAAAACTGGAAGTAACTTTAAATATAGCATATTATAAACAGACTGTTTGATTTGTTTATAACTTCTTCAATGCCAGAAATATAAATATTCAAATAATACAAAAAATAAAAATCAGTTTCATAATCAGTTTCATTTTAACGGTTTTCTCCGGTTAAAATCTGTAAAACCATACTTTAAATATATATATTCAAAATTCAAATCTGAGTAACAGCAAAGAGTATTTTTTTTTCTGGAATCAAAACTTGAGTGTGGATTGCACGCTTGATCTTGATGTCCAATGTGCAGACTTTTTTAACTTGAGGACCACTGTTTAATAACAGGGGCGGATACAGTAAGGGGGGGGGGCGGCAGGACCTTTACACCCCCTGAGGACCAATGTTTGATTACTCCATTAAAGCAAACCCTGCAAGGTATGACCACCACGGGATATCGAAGAGAAATTAAATTAATTGGCAAATCTGCAAAATATAGAGATTTTCGACACAAATTTTCAGATCTGTTTTTCGGGCATTTTAACTTAAGTATAGTTGAACAAAACATCAATAATTTATCATTGCTCCTTTAAAAAAATGATATAATAGTTTTTTTTGATTTTGTCTTTTCTTGAACTGGATTTACATAATGCAATATATATTATTTTATATATTAAGCAATATTCTTATTTACATTTGATTGTTCATATTCAACTGTAATTATTGGTTTGCTTTTTCATTTATAAAAATTGAATATATATCTCATGAAAGGTTCCAATGAAATGGTTTCTAAATGTGGTTTCGTGCAATCTCGTAAAATCTGTAGAATATTACTCAGAGGAAAAAATCCGTTGGGAACAAATGGGGATGGTACATGATACATATATTGTACATTGTACTATAAAGATTAAATAGTGTACAGTTACACTGTTGGTGGCATCGGTTTTAGAGTAATCTTTAGACATGTATGCATATGGTATAGTGTACGTATGTAAATGTTTATTACAATACCAGCTGAAGTGACCGGCGTTGCCAGTTGAATTTTGAAAATATTTCGAGGAAAAAATTTCATATTAAAAAAATTCGATTAAAAAAAAGCGCATAATAATACTAAGATTTTTGAGGAGAAACTTTAAAACACCAAATAAATTTGCAAGATTAGAAAAAATAGAAATTGAATTTTTGGCACAACATCTCATTTTTAATCCCTACGTCTTTGCAACCTGAGATACTTAAATTATAAATTCTGTTAAATCAGATAATTTTGAAGTATCAAGGGTTTACACCAACAAGTTGCGCAAAAAAATAATAGAAAATATTAGTTCGTTCTTAATACTTTGGGGGAAAAATTCAAATGTAAAAAATAAATTTTAAAATCTTTTATAGTTTTAAAAGAAAATAAACTATTTTTTAAAACCTTATTAATACACCCAGTGAACCCATGAGTTCCCTCAAAAAACTTAGCCAATTTGGTCCAGCTATTTGGCCAGCTATAGCCAACATATAAATATAGAGCGAAGAGCTTTATTATAAATATACTAGATGGTCTACAATAGTTTATTCTTTCTTGTGATGATGCTTATTAGGAAAAAATTGCAAAGGTTTTGACTTAAAAAAAATAATCCTTGAAGAAAATTGGGCGGATCCAATTCCCACGCCCCCATCTCGCCTTCTTAGGGGTTGCCACGCCCATATTGTAAGGTAAGTACAGAACGCCAAGGACAGTCCTTTTTAAGAAAATAAAATATGAGTAAAACCAAATGAGATATATAAAAAACGTAAGCTATAGGAGCAATCTCTTTACAACTTGGAAATCTTTATATTTAGGAGAAGAAAAAAATGAATTGATCGGGTTGGTTTGCAGTCAACCCATGGGCAAACTTTAAAATGGGCCTTGTCTCAATAAAAGATGCATATTTTTCTTATTTGCAGGGTTTTTATTGAGTCCTCTACACTACACTCAAGTAGATTGTAGAATAAACCATTAAATGTTAAGTACGAAACTTTAGATTGCGATGAAGTCATTCTCCTCAAAACCTTACTATTTCTTTGGTCATGGTACTACAAACCAATGCACTATAACACACCAAAAGTTGAACGTGAAGCCATTATCGAAAACCCGGCTTCAGGAATGGATGAGGCAGTTTTGTGCATACCAATATTTTTGTCAAAAAATAACATTTCATGTAGTTTCTTTTCATATCTTTTTGTTTTCTGATTTTTTTAAAATTTAATTCTACGTATATGTAAAGATCCCTAAAAGTAAACTCGGGAGTTTCGTTCAAGAATACTCTCTTTAAACTTCCAGCTCTGTCCTTCCAGTGTTCAGAACTACAGAAATATTTGTTTTACAGGTTTACCCACAAAGGATGAGACTTCAGAGACGACTGTGCGGAATTGTTACTGCTTTGTTATAATCATGATTTTCTGCAATTGTTAACTTGTGCCTTTAAATAAGGCATTAAAAGACAATATTTAAGGCAAAAGACTTGATCTGGTCTGACCTATTACGTCTTAAAGAACTATAGCTAAATACAAGAGCTCTTAAAAGTTATTGCAAATTTTTATATATATAGCATTTTGTATCTTTGAGACGTATTTTTGACCTAGATAATTTAAATGTTTTACATATTCAACTATTTATTCTACATTTTACATATTCAGCTATTTATTCTACATTTTACATATTCAACTATTTATTCTACATTTTACATATTCAACTATATTTATTCTACATTCGAGATATTCAGGAGATACTAATTACATGCGGATTCAAGGGCGTTTCAAACAAATTT